CACTGGTGCATAGCCTAGCCAAATTCTCACTTAATTTGATTCAATTGTACTTGAAATGAGTCTCTACACTTCAACAAGCAGCAATAGTAACTACAGAATGTGAATTGATGAATATAAACTGAAATCAGTCTCTAATTTCAATGCAACAGTAGCATTTTTGGTTTTTCTGTTTTCTGATTTTTTTTGTATTTTTGTATATTTGAATTTCAAATGCTAATCTGAAGACTAAAATGGCTTTGGGAGGGAAATTTGGTGGCTGGGAACTCTGGGAATTTCAGGGGTGTCAAAACTTGTTAAACAAGGCAATGGGTGTGCCTTTTATAGGCAAAGCCTAAGGCTTCCTTCAGATTTTTAGTTTTCTTTTTAGTCCTTCTCATTTTCAGCTTTTAGTCCCTTATTTTTAAACTTGTTACCCAAGTAACAACACCTATTTTATTGAAAACTATACTAAAGTCTATTCTAGAAAGTCCTATACCCATTACAATTCCTATACTATCCCTTCCCTACTTTAAAAATTACTATTCCTAATAAAACTACCTTTTTCTATGCCTAAATTACCCTTTTATTTATTCTGAAATTACTAACCTGTACTAAACCCCAGTCCCTTTTACCCAACCAAAATTATTTGAAAGATTATAATTATCAGCTATAACCAAAGTCTGAATTAATGGACCAAATACTGAATCAAAGATCAATCAACAACTAAACTAATCTAAACTAACAAAATATTAACACAGAACCAAATGAATATCTAAAACAAAAATCGATACTAGAGTCTAGCAAAACATATTACAAAAACTAATAATCATGTGTTCAAACTAAATACCACACTATTTATCAATTAATGATTGGACTAATTATAACTATACTAATACTAAAACTAACAGAAAAATCGAAGACTAAATTAATAAAATCTGGAAAAAAAATTGAACTAAACACAAACAAATAAATGCAAGGCGAAACAAAACACATATAAAATCAAAAAGAAAGAAAGAAAGAAATAGTAAAAATGGAAAACTTATCTGACTAATTCTAGGGTTCTGTGGCCTTTACTGATTTCCAGCGACATTTGAATGCTTCTAGTGACAGACTTGGCACGAGGGAGGTGAGGGGGTCGTGTGGTACAAATTTGGGGTCGATTGGGTGAATTAGGGTTCCGACCGGAAAAATTTAAATGAAGATTCGAGCAAACCCAGGCAGATTCGAGACAAACGGGTATGGGGATTAGGTAGAGGAGGCTCAGGCGGTCACAGGGTGTTAATTTGGGACTGTGTGGCATACTTTGTGTTTTGGCCGGAAATATTCAATCGATTATTCGACGAGATGGGGGAAGATTCGAGGGAAATGACCATGGGGGTTGGAAAAAGGAGAAGAAGGAGCATCTATGGTGTTTTTCTGGTGGCCATTGGAATGACCGGCGTTCGCCGACGGCGGCTAGGGTTTTGCAGATTTGGGAGCGTTTGGTTGGGATTTGGAAGAAAACAATGGTGGATTCGGAGTGGGGAGACGGAGACGAGGCTATGGTGAAATTTGGGGGGTGATTGGAAGTTGGCCGCCGGCGGAGACGATTTCCGGCCGGCGCAGACGATTTCCGGCCGGCGGCGAAGGTGGAAGGCGGCGGAGCAGTGGCGGAGACATGGTACGAGGAAGATAGGTTATGTTTTAGGGTTTGTATATTTTTTCGGACAATTTTATGTAAAAGTAAAACTCAATTGTGGTTGTTGGATTAGATAAAATTGATGGCCAGGATTGTGTGACGCCAAACGGCGTCGTTTAGTTATAGGGGGAACTGGACCGGGTATTTTGGGATTGGGTTTGGGCCATTTTGGCCGGATCTGGTTGGGTTTATTGGCTCGAATTGGCCCAAGACTTGTGGCCTGGTCCTTTTCATTTCCATTTCTTTTGGTTTATTTTCTTCTCTTTTCTTCTTTATTTATTTGAATTTTGGATTTTATTAAATGTAAAATTAAAAATAGCCAAAACCTAATTTAATTTTAAAATGAGACTAATTAGATTTCCTAGAATTAACTAGATCATAATTTTAAAAGGAGAATTAAACGAAAGTGAAATTAAAGGAACAAAAGACATAAAAGGATTATTTTTTGTTATTTTCTCTCTCATTTTCAATGATGTTTAATTAATATAAAAATCTAAAATTAGGTCCTAAATGCAAGTATGCTATTTTTGGAATTTTTTATTATTTTTATAACACCTAAAAATGCACACAAAATGCAAACAAAACACAAAATCATGCAATTAATTCCTAAAAATTCAAATACTAAAAGAAAAATTCTAATTCAAATGAATTCTATAGGAGTAATTTAAGCGTGGCAAAAATCACGTGCTCACAACCAAGAGCTTACAAGGTAAACTTACCATGATTCTTGGCCTCCCATTTGCCCCTTGCTAAGTCACGCCAGCAGCGCTCGGCATGGGAGAAACTCACAGCCAGCTTCCGAACCCAGTCTTCGAGGTCGGGAATAGCATGAGGTATCCAGGCAATCGCTGCATAATAGATGAAAGAATTACATAAAGCAAAAAATAGAGTACGAAGATTACTAGGTAATACGTTACTTACGATCGGGGTTCCATTTCTCGGGGAACGATAGTTTCTCCTCGGGGATGAGGTCGTAGGTCCTTACCCGCATGAACCGGCTCATCCAACCTTGATCCTTGTCCTCATCGATGCTTGCAAAAAAGGACTTCGTTGATCGGTGTTGGAGCTTGATTAACCCTCGAAAAAGTCGAGGTCGATACAACCGTATGAGGTGGCTGAGAGTGAATTCCAACCCTTGGCCTTGCTAGAGAAGAAGCGGATCATGATCACTATGTGCCAGAACGACGGATGCACCTGGCCAAGGGTAACCTGGTACATCTTGCAAAAATCGACGATAATTGGGTAAAGAGGACCCAATGTGAAGGGGTAAGTATAATCACTTAGAAACCCATCTACGTGAGTGGTGATACTCTCTTCAGGAGTAGGGATTTGTACCACGACCTCGGCCCCCCAATTGCAGTCTTTCTTCACAACCTCGAGCTGTTTCGCCATTATCGAGCAAATATACCTCGATACGCATTCACATCGGCCAGGGACCGACGGAGGGTTCTCGACTTTGAAGTTGTTTTTTAGAACACAAGGTCCAGGAACGTACTCTTGAGGGAGCGGTTCCACCGGCGTTTTATCACCGGCCGACCGGGAAGAAGAAGAAGAAGAAGAAGAAGAAGCTTTCTCCTTTTGTGGGACGGTTTTGGAGGTTTTCGCAATTGATTCAGATGAGATGAAGCGGAAAGAGGCAAAATTGGTGTTTTGATACTAACGGAGTTGACTCAACGGATGGTAAAAGAGAAGAGATGGAGAGAGGAAAAGACTTAGAAAAACTTAGTGAAGATGGAAGTAAAGTTTTGATTCAAATAAAGAGCCGGTATTTATAGGCTCACGGCGACGGTCCGGTGGTGCTAGCGGCCGACCGTCACTAGCAAGCATTAATGGTTTGGGGAATTGTACCGACGGGACGTTTCGATTACCTCGACCACTTATGTCACGAGGATGACGTCATTATCGCGATCTCCAGAAAATCGAGGCTTAAGTCATTTCTTCTCATTTTACTGTAAGAAACAAGGGGACTATCTGTATACGGTAAAAATCGGGGCTTCCCGATTTCGTCCTCTGATGGAAAAAGTGACACCACGTCGGAAGGCCAGGATGTCGAGCTCGGGGTCGAAGTTCCTTTCCAAGATCGAGGTCGATATCACTCACCGAGGTCAGAAGAGGGCATACTTCGAGATGATGTCGGTATAATTCAGTAACAGGAAGAGCGAGATACCCACAACGGACCAAAGATCACGGCGTGAATTTTGGAATGGATTGGTCCTCGGTGGTTAATCAGTTGTCAAATATGATTTCCTACTATAATTAAAAGTGTACCTTATTTAGGACTCCCCTATTATATAAAGGGGGATCCCATTCATTTGTAAGCATCATTATTCACGGAGAAGAATATATACACTCATTACTTTCTTGCTATTTCACTTACTGTTCATCAGAGTTGCTTTATCATTTTGATATCCCTATTATCACACCTCGAGACCACCATAGGTCGAGGTCGAGATTTGGCTTGCATGCCGGTTTGATCTATTTTAGTCTCTAATTTATCTATGTAATTCATTGTTTATCAATTGGTATTGGATTAAATTACATATCCTTAAAACCACAATATAAGTTTAATTGTTACTCGAATTTTAAGTTAAACAGTAGTTTAATCTATTATAACAAGTTAGTAACTATTTTTCTTAAATTAACAATTAGGTTTTATGTGATGACACCATTAATGATTATAGTGGGATGAATAAGACCTGAAGCCGAGGTCTCGAATTTGAGCCGAGGAGTTGAAAAAATCTTGGTAGAGAACCTTTCTCCCTATGATGGTCCCTATCCGAGTGGGAAATATTGAAAAAATAAATAAAAGAAATTCATGCAATGATAGTGGATAGGTTGTTATACTACCATGTTAGGTTTAATAGGCAAGTCTTCCTAACAAGCTTAATATGGAAGGTTAAAAGTAAGTACTACTAACAGAATAGTTCTTTCGGTGCACACATACTATTAAGGAATCCACCTTATAGCATTAATTAACAAGATAGTTGATCATATTAACCTTAATTTGTTCATTGAAAATATAACAAATATTCCCAGGCTCTTTACTCTAAGGGCAACTTTGAAAAAAAGAAAGTTAATTCTTTTCTTGATATTTGAAAAAATCAAATATTGTAGGTCCCAAAAAAAAGACCAAAAAATCCATTAAAGTGAAGGAGGGAATAACATATTATAGCCTATTGTAATATTGATCATATTTTTTGTGTTAGGAGTTAAATTGGGCGACTTATTAAAAACATTATATTAGTGGTTGATGGTTGATATTACCCAGTTCCCTAAGTGACATTTCAGTGACCAAGGAGGTGAATTAATTATCAAAGCCTCATGAGCTAAAATCAGTGTTATTCAATTCAGCCATATATAATTATAGGACGATTCCTTATCCCCTAGAATACTACTCCATCCTCCCCTTTGATCTTTCTTAATTTGTTGGTTCAAAAATGGCACGTAAGGCTTCAAAAATCATCCCTCAGGCCAAGCAGCCCATTGGCAAGAGCCTGAAATCAGAGGCTAGCCAACTTGTAGCAGCTCAGTTACAAGAAGCTGTTAAGCCCCTCCAACTTCTCAACATGATCCACACGACCGTATTCACACTCAATGCTGTGAACACCTTGGGATTGACAGTCAAAAGCTATATTCGTCGGACGCGGGTGTTGTTGAGCATTTCTTCAGACCCCACAATGCTGAAGGAGATTGCTATGGCTGCTGCCCGAGCCGGTGTATATGATCTCTCTATGCCTGCAGATCGTGCCGGATGGAACTTAAGCCCAGTCGGTTCGTTTGAACTCATTGCTTTTGCCTCAAATTATACATTTACTTAGAAATTTATAACATGGATTTAACTTTGTAGAACTGACTGACTTTATGAAAGAATTTTATATAACTATAGTGTTTTTTAATCTGATAATGTAGTCTATTCCATTTTTTTCAGGTTGCTAATTCCATTTTTAAGGACAGTTATTTATAGATATTTTATACATATCTTATAGCCTGTTTGATCAAACTTCTAAATTCAGCTTAGTTTGAAAAGTTAAAATAGTACTTTTGGTGAGAAGTAATTCGTGTTGGGCTAATTAATTCGAAAAACACTTTGGAGTAGCAATTAATGTTTGGCCAAGCTATTTTTCTCGAAAGTGCTTATCAAAAAAATACTTCTAGGAAGAAACTACTTTTTTTTTTCCTTCTAAAAATTTGACCAAACACTTTTAACTTTGGGAAAGAAGCACTTTTGGCCGAAAAAAAACGTACTGAAAAAAAGTTTCGCCAAACAGGCTATTAAAGCTGATCTGATCATGTAAAAGTTTTTAACAATGTAAACTCTTATAGTTTAAACTTTATGCATTGATATTATGAATTCACATTTATTATGTGTGTTTGTGTGTACGCAGCTGTGGCTATGTGTGTCTGCTTTTTTATACAAATATCCTATTTTTAGCTAGTTATGCAAAACAACTTAAAATCTTGGATTCGGTTATGTAGATATTCTTAAGATTTCTGAATGGATGAAATCGCCTGATGGAGAAAACTACATGCGCCTAATCTACAAGAGGCAGAAGCTAGAGAAGAAAGTGCGATCAGAGATGTATAACAAGGAAGCTGCATTAGTTCAGGTCAGTGCCGACCTGACACAAGCTAGTAAAGCATTTGCTTTAGGCCACAAAAAGTTTAAGGCTCAACAAGTTATAGTTATTTAATCATTAGCAAATTAATTAAGACCTCTAAAATCACATTAATAATATTTTTTTTAACCAAGTTTCAGTTTTAACTTAAAATAGAGAATCTAAAGTTGAAAATATGATGAGAGTAAACTAAAACTTTTTTCCTTATGAAATTCATATTCAAACACAATTTTTAATTTTTAAATACTCTTTTTTCACTTTCAACTTTAGGCCCCGTTTGGTCATACATTTTGGCATCGTTTTTTCAAATCTTTTTTGAAAACATTGTTTGTTCATAGATTAATGATCTATTTTTGAAAAATTTCTGAAATTATTTTTCAAGTTCCCAAAATGTAGTTTAGGGATTTTGGGTGAAACTTGTTCTCCCACTCACAAAACTTCAAATTTTTTTCAAATAAAATGCATGTCCAAACATAATTTCAACTTCCAAAAATTATTTTTCAATTTACTTCAAATATTAATTTTTCAAGTTTCAACTAAATTTATGTCCAAACGCTAGCTAAATATTTATTTTTTAAACTCCTACCAAACTTTTCTCCAAGCAAGTTGTAAATAATTTGAAGCACACATTTTTTTGTAAAACTTTCACGTATATTTGAATCTTATCGAATATATTTAAAGCTTCTTATATATCAAGGTTTGACTTTAGGCCGCCTATTCTATTGAGCCACACCTGGATCAGCTCCTCTCGATACAACTCCAAGGATATAGAGCTGAGGTGAAGAAGATAAGGAGCGACTACGACAAGAAGATAGAGCGGTTACACCGTGAAATACAAAGGCTAGAATCTCTCAAGGCCCGTGTATTATTGAAAGAAAATTGAACATTTATTAATATCTATGTCAAATATCTTTTGTATAATGTCTTTGCCTATTGGATTTTTATTTAAGTTTAAGTTTATCCTTCAAAGATTTATTATAATGGTTGGATATAGTTAGTTCAGATGAGCTGGATGAATAAATTCAGATTGGGGCTGTTGCTATTATTAAAACTAGTACTCCTTCCACCCCTAATTAATTAACTAATAGTATGATGAACACATTTATTAAGGTAAAATTGGAGTTTCATTTAGATTGATAGTCAAAAAATTGAAATGAAGTTTAGGGATAGGAGTGAAGATAATTAATTGTTTTTTCTGTCATTGATAGTTTTAAACTGAGAATGTGAATGGTCATTGGAATTAATTAAGAGTGATAAACCCAAAGAGCTACTCCCTCAGTCTCATAATATGTGTCGTGATTCTCTTGTGCACGCCCCTTAAGAAAGAATAGTTTTTAAATATTTTACCCTTATTAAATGTTTTCTCAATTTATGTGTCATCTCCATAAGTAATGTGTTTGTAGTCTTCTAAGATAATTAATTATTAAGGGTAAAAAAGAAAAAAAATATAATCAGTTTTGTCTTGAACTTCTAAAATAACAAATAATTTGAGACAACTATTGTTAGTAACCACGACACATATTATGAGACGGAGGGAGTAGTTAAACCCAGTCATTCTTCAATAAATAGGCTCGTTTTTTGGGTTCTTGAAAGGACTTTTTTGGTGAACTTTCCAAATCTCCATATCCAAAAAAATATTACATATTTATCTATAATCGTTATTCGACAAAAAGCCTAACTCCAACTTCATTTTTTCTTCACCTTATTGTGTAGCTATCGATGTCAGTTTGATAAGCTCAATAGAAGCAAAAGGTAATGTAGTTCTCGGTTTTATTCTTTTGATTTTTCCCTTTGAATAACAAATCTGTATAGTCCTCTATTTTCATAATGTATTGACAGAGGACCTTCTTGCTGCAACGAACGCAAAATATTGTCAAACTTTACCTCCTCATATATTTACCAACCTTCCTTAGAATGTAATTGAAAATATTTGTTGTGTTTGCCTTCTAAAGATGTTGAGAGCACAATCATCTCATCAAAAAATGAAAGTATAACTGGTGTAGACTTCTAGAGTAACGCTTAATAGAGTTGTTTGGACAACTAAAAATAAGTTAAATGAAAAGGATATGCTAACTTAAAAAGTTTGTGCTAAAAGGATATGTGTGTGTGTGTGAACATGATTTCGTTCAAGATAATGTTGAATACATATGTCAATGAGTGTTATTACAGCATCCAATACTCTTTTGTGACTATGAATGCAGACATGTTTATACATAAAGAAATTTTCTGGTTACAGTCGAAAATAACCTATGCCGTCGAGTTTGACGTGTATACACGTCTACAACTTTAAATATAATGTATTAACCTGTTATAACTAGTCACACTTTTCAAGCTCTAATCCCACTTTTTAAATGTAATTATCATTTAACACACTTGATTAATTCTTTTATATTACTAGCATATAGAAGTTAAACTCGAGATATATCCACCTATGCACTTCTGGTTTATTTAGCTGAGACAGACTAATACTTCCAAATATCAAGTCAGGGGAACCCCTTTAAATGAGAGATTTAGCAGTGCCAACTACAAACAGTAAAAACAAGAATGAGTGTAAAAGAGGGATCCAATTCTTGCTTCAGCCATCACTGGAAAAATCAGGCATAGCTTTTGATGAAACGAAAAATCTCTTCTTTTCCTTTTATCATTCGCTCACAGTACAGAGAAGATACAAACAGAGATGTCATGTTACATAAACAAATTCACATGTTGTTCAATTATTATACAGCTGTTTCAACTATACCTTATAAGAACTATAGTAAACAAAAACTTTTTTTTACATCATATAGATGGTGATATATGCTAGTTCAAAAATGTTCATAGATATTCTAATAAATCTTCTTGCTTCTGCAAATCCCATATCACTACCTTTCCATCAAGTCCTGAAAAGTTATCGAGGATTGACATGACTCTCCGAATAACAGAAAAGGGATTTGCTTTAGAATGAAGTTTTATGTGCATGCAAACTAACCTGAAGTGCTGAAACGGGTGACACTAGATTTTCTCTGTTTTGCAAGTGGTAATACGCAACTGGATTTCCCAAGATTAAAAAGAAAAAAAAAAGTGTTGATGTAAGATTTGATCCTGAACTATTAAAGGCTGAAATGGAAGACATAAAAGAATGTGATCATGTTGAAATATTACTTGATACAGTTGTCATGAGCGCCTCTTGACTGCTCAACATTGTTGTTGGCTGAATACTTTGATTGACCATAGAATTTCCCAAATGCTTCAGAAAACTGTGAAATATATGGAGATAAGAGACAGATAAAGAACCATGATAAAACTGGACAACAAGGAAATCTCAGTACCAAATACACTAGGCCTAGGTTATAAGGTCACGGAATAGCTGTATAAGTGCACTGCTCTAGCCCATCAATGAAGTTTGAAGGTAGATAATTTCTGGACTAGCTAGTTCTTGGGATAAGTACCTGTGATCCATATTTAGCACTTGAAGATGCTGCTTTTCGCTCATCAAGGAATCTCAAGAAACTCCTGAAGCATAAAAAACAAATTTAGTTAATTACCTCCTCAATAGTAAAAGTAGATTGAAGATCTCATAAAAGTTCAACTCTAGAGGCACTACACAACAGAGTTTACACCTACTGATATTGGCATAGGTATTTCATCTAGATCCTTCAAAATAAAATAAAAACTTGCTGAAAGTTGGATAAACCCATGTTGGATACTTATCCATACGGGTGTTGGATACATAACCATATCTGAGTCCATCACATAGGGCATTCTTAAGTTTGGGTTTAATTGGAGTACTACTACATTTGATCGAGTAAATTACCAGCATTCAAGTGGGAAAAGTAAAGCTTCAACAAGAAACAAGGTAGAGAGTGAAAACTTATTTCACTACATCACTTACACTTCTCCTAGCATTTCAACATGTCTTTAAAATCGAATAGGCAATTTTCCATAGAAAATGAAGAAACGAATGTATTTTGAGGCTCATAGGAACAGTAACGAGTCACACCACTCTAAACAGTTATCAGTAGAGGCACTAAAGCAAACCCCCCCCCCCCCCCCAAAAAAAAAAAAAAGAAAAAGGAAAACAAGAAATAATTGAGACAAGTAAAGGAAGCCAGCCTTGCAAGTTCCAGATATTCGACATACCAGAGTCCACTTTCATCTGCCACAAATACCATTGGGTTGCAATCAAATCCCACACCGACAACCATCCTTTCAGAAAGAAACGATACCTGCAAGAGAAGTCTTGATTAAACAACAAATATTAAGATCTGAAAAAGACAAAGCAAAAATGAGACAGGATTCTGACCCACATCACGAAGAGGCAAATCGCGGATTGCTACACTTTGTGCTGCAGCAGAGGGACCAACTTCATCAACAAAGTATATCATTGAGTTATGACCTGAGAGATCATCCAATACCCAACATCTAAGCTGCATTAGTATATTACAATGGAAAATTTTGGGAACTTAGTCTAAAACCAAGTAAAATAAAAATAGAACAATTGAGCAAACAAACACAGCAAGCGACTGCAACCAAAAATAATGAGATAGTTGAAGCAGCGTCAAATCAAATCTGATCCAAAAACAACGCATAAGCCAAAGAAGCAAAGAAAGGAATATCTGACCTACATATGATAAGGTATTGCCACTTGGGGACCATCTGACACCAAAAGCCCAGCAAAAGCAGAGATCAAGCTGGACAATTTGCTGCATTCATATGAATAAAGGATATATTACTCTTTCTATGAACAACAACAACAACAACAACAACAACAACCCAGTGAGATCCCACATGTGGGGTCTGGGGAGGGTAGTGTGTACGCAGACCTTACCCCTACTCCGGAGGAGTAGAGAGGCTGTTTCCGGTAGACCCTCGGCACAAGAAAGAAAGAGACAATGTATCAGTAGCAGCAGAGGAATCCTAACATATAACACCAGCAACGCAATAACCAGAAAATAGAGAGCAAAGTATTAACACTAAGCATCAACAAAGGCACAATACTACATACGCAAGGGAATAATATGTACATATAGGGCCACTAAACCTACTATAGCCTAACTTTTCGTCCCTAAAGAAGTATTAAGAACACAACTGGAGCCCCTAGCAGCCTAAAGCAAGACACTAGCACACTAGCCTCCTGTCTCCTAACCCACAACCCTGGTGCTCGACCTCCACAACTTCTTATCAAGGGCCATATCCTCGAAAATCTGCATCTGCACCATGTCCTGCCTGATCACCTCTCCCCAATATTTCTTAGGCCGCCCTCTACCTCTCCTCATACCCGTCAAGGCCAGCCGTTCACACCTCCTCACCGGTGCATCCAGGCTTCTCCTCTTCATGTGCCCGAACCATCTAAGCCTAGCTTCCCGCATCTTGTCTTCCATGGGAGCCACGCCCACCTTCCCCCGAATATCGTCGTTCTTAATATTATCTAGCTTAGTGTGTCCGCACATCCATCTCAGCATCCTCATCTTTGCAACTTTCATCTTCTGGATATGGGAATTCTTCACTGGCCAGCACTCTGCACCATACAACATGGCCGGCCTAACCACCGTTCTATAGAACTTTCCTTTTAAGTTCCGGAGGCACCTTCCTGTCACACAGAACACCAGATGCTAGCCTCCATTTCATCCACCCCACTCCTACACGGTGCGTAACATCCTCGTCAATATCCCCATCCCCCTGAATAATCGACCCCAGGTACTTGAAGCTCCCTTTCTTGGGAATGACTTGCGAGTCAAGCCTCACGTCCACGTCCGCTTCACCCGGCATGCTGCTGAACTTGAACTCCATGTATTCAGTCTTAGTCCTGCTCAGCTTGAAACCTTTAGACTCAAGGGTCTGTCTCCAAACCTCTAACCTCTCGTTAACACCGCTTCGCGTCTCATCAATCAGTACTATATCATC